CCCCCATCACCTCCCCTCCCCCCTTCCTGCTCCTGCCCCCATGCCACCCGGGCCAGGCAGCCACCACTGGCTGTGTCTCCAGGGACAGCCCCGGGGACAGGATTTGGTCTCACTCACCCCCTTGACTATCTGATAGTTCTCACTGCTCTTCTCTCCCGGAGCAATGACCTCTTCATCCGCAGCGAGCTGAAAGGGTACAGAAACAGCACCAGGGTCTCACTGCACCTCTCCAAAGCCTGGGGTGTAACCACACCCCGCAGGACCCTCCCTGGCCCCTCTCTTCCATGGGGGGTGCATGGCCCATCAAGAGGCTTCAGGTGTTGGATTGAAGCGAGCTGGGTCCTGCTCAGGGCTCTCACCTCTTTCTTCTCCTTCTTGTTCCCCTCCACCGCGCTGTCCCCTTTGCTGCTGCCCTTCTTGTCCACCCAGAGCTCCGATTTCTCCACCATCGTGCGGAGTTTGTCCAGCTCGGACTTGATCACCTTGTAGTTCTCCACATCCTGGGCTGAGATCAGGAGCTGAACCTGCAGCGACATTCCCAGGGGTTTCCAGTTTGGGGCACAAACCCCATTCCCCTCCTCCTCCAGATCTCCATCCCAAGGAAAGGGACTGGGACCCATCCCATGTCCTGCACCCACAGCCAAGGGGGAGTTAGAGATGCTCCAGAGCAGCATCCCACCAGTGTTACCTGCTTGAAGGTGTGCAGGACCTCCTGCCTCTGGCTGAAGTGCTTGAAGAGGAGCTGCAGGGAGCCGGAGATGAGCGGCGGGTAGTCGTGCATCGTCAGGTGGATCAGCACCCGCAGAAACATCCTCCCTCCCTCGTCATCCACCTCTAACATGCTGCTCGTCTTCCTGAAGCCGGAGACGAAAGCGCTTGGTGTTAGCAGCCGCGTGGGAGCTTGCGTGCACTCAGTCACCCCTCGGGGCTGACGGGGACAGTGGCATTAGCCTTTAGAGCCTCATCTTCCTCATCACCTGCAGCTTTCAGCCTCGGCAGCATGGCCAGGAGAGGAAGAGCCCTATGGCCAGGCTAAACTATGCACCGGAGGGGGCAGGGACTCACCCCACACCGAACATGGCTTCTGCGTGCTCGCCGATCCGGTCCAGGTTCATGGCTGCAGCTGGAGGGAGAAGGGAGATGAAAGGGGTGGTCAACATGAGCCCTATGCACTGGCAGAAACCCACAGGAACCAGCCCAGCTCCTTGGCCCCTGCTCTGAGCATCCTCGATGGACACGGGACGCCTTGTCCCATCGGCACAAACCCCAGTGCCCCACGCTCCCTGCCAGCAGCAGCATGGGATGAGAGCTGCTGGAGCTGTCACCTCCGCCACCTGCGTGTCCCCAGCCTCTGGGGTTTGCTGAGCTGGAGGTGTACCAGGAGGAAAGTGGAAGAGTTACTTGTGGAGTCAAAGGCTGGAGCCGTCCCATCGGCTGCACTGTCCTGCATGGGGTAAACTTCCACAAACTCCTTCTTGAAGACAGAAAGCAAGTAGGAAATCCTGTAGTCCAGCCGCACGTTCAGGATGAACTGCCAGCAGCAAAGAAGAAGAAAAAAGCAAAAGTGAGTCCCCTCTTCATGCCAGCTCTTTGCATCAGAAACCCACATCTTCCTCACACCACCCCATCCCACCCCACTGGTCCCACCCACATCTCCACTATGCTTCCCCCTCCCCACTGGTTCCAACCTGCAAGATCTCCAGGATCTTCAGCTTGGTCTCCATCACCACAATGTTCTCATTCTCAATGCTCCTCCCTCTGTCCACTTGCTCCGGGGCAGACCCGGCACTGAGGCTTGGGGGGCTGAAGATGGACTGTTTCCTGCTCAGCACCATAGTGGACATCATCTGCCCGACGCCCTGGATGGACCTCCGCACGTTCTTCCCTACGGAGGCAGCCACAGCAGACAGAGTTAACGCAGATGGAAAGGGAGGGGGCAGAGGACCAACGGAAGGACTCACTCAGACTGGAAAATGTTGCTGATATTAATCAGGGAATGAGTGGGAGGACCTGGCCATTTCCTTGGCATGGCCAAGGGCCCAACGCCTCCTGTCTCCCAGCGCAGTCCCAGACAAAGTTTCCATGTCAGCAAACCAGTGGCTTATTTTCTTAACAGAAAAAACTGGAAAGCACTGGGCAGACCACAGAAAACACCTCGTTGCAGGACCATGCCTGGTTTTGGAGCAGGGACTCACCCGTCACCTCGTCGCTGTACACTCCCTGCATCATCAGCTGGGGGTTCTGGACACAGTCGATGATGCCCAGCAGCGTCCGCGTCAGGCGCAGCAGCTCGCTGAAGCTGTAGAAGCCGAAGTAGATGAGGTTGTGGGCAAGGCTGACGACCTGGAGGAGGAAAAGGCAGCTCAAGACCTTGCCGTGCTTGAGGCTGAGCAGGAAAAACTAATACAGGGGAGAGGAATGCCAGTGTGGCCACCCTCATGGCAAAGGCAGTCGCAGCCAAACCGTATCACGTCCTGCAACGTCTCAGGGACACCGGCAGGACTCGCACCTCGAAGGTCAGCTTGTTCTTCTCCTCGTTGGCGAAGGGCACTGCCTCGCTCACCACGTTGTTGAGGTAGTCCTCCACGAACTCCATGGTGCTGGCAAACTTGTTCTTCTTGTCATCACGCGAGACGTTGAGGTTGGAATCATAGCTGCGAGTGGAGGTTTTTGGGGGTCAGCAGGATGGCGTAAGTCTCCTTACCCCCAGTCTGGACAGAGCACTGGCCAGGCAGCTGCTGAGCCATCACAGCCAGAAGTGATGCTCGTGACTGTGATGGAGCCCACTTCCTTCTGAAGGCTGAGACCTGACAAATTCACTCCACAAATGCCCCCCTCCCAGTTCCTGCTAAAGCCAAGCCAGTCCCTGCACTGGATGGCATCTGCAGTCCCACCTCCTGCTCCATCCCTCAAAGCTGCTCCGAGCTCCAACGTGTCTCACTCTTTGATCGTGATGGCCGTGGGGATCTCGGTCCAGAGCCGCGCAAACTTCACGGGCATCACCAGCTCCTGGGGGTCCCTGTCCACGTGCACGTGTAACATGAGGTGGCAGAAGGACGCCCGGAGATCGAAGGGCAGCATCTCATCTGCCATGCAGAGGAAGATCAGGTCCACACCCAGCTGCTGGGAGATCTCCTTGATGGCCAAGTACTGGCGATCCAGGCACATACGGGCAAAGAGCTTCAGCTGGTACCTGCCCGGGGATGAGGAGGAGAGCGAGTGAGTATGTGCAACCTTTGAGCCCTCACCTGGGGGAGGATGCTGTGGGACCATCACCTGTAGTAGCTGAGGACGTTCTCGTCATGGGCATTGCCAGCCCGGGCCTCCTGCGCCAGCTGCCGGATGCTTTTCTCATGGTGGTCATTGTTCTTGTCCGTCCAGGTGAGCCAGACCTCCTCCTCCGAGTACTCGATGCTCAGGTACTCGTGGGTCTGGGACATCTCCTTCACCGGCCTCAGCCTAGGACAGCAGAGGGGTAAAACTGGAGATGCTCCCGTGGATAGTGAGCGGCTGGACTGTGAGGGGGTTTCACCAGGACACCGCAGGAGCTGGTGGAGCGCAGGGCCAGGCACCAAACCTGGAAATCCTCTCCCCTTGGCTACTCACTCAGTTTTGATGAGGATGTCGCTGTTCTTGGGGTCCAGCACGCACTTGCAGATCAGCTCCTGGGTGACGGGGATGGCGATGTGGTTGGACACGCACAGGTCCGAGAGGTAGTCCAAAAACCTACGGAGCAGAGACAGCTCACTGTGAAAGGGGGGTCCGCGGAGGCGCTCTCCACCTCTGCTTGAGGCTCATCCCACCCATCACGCAGCACAAAGCCCTTGGGGACGGAGCCTTTCCGGACACGCACCGTGGCTCGCGGTTCTTGCGCACCAGGCTGACGAAGGTCTCCACCTCCGTCTTGGTGATGTGCTTCTCCAGCAGCTTGCGGTTGTTGTGCAGCAGGGCTGTGATGGTGTCCTCAGCCAGGATGTCGTACCCGATCTGGGACTGCATCATGCCAAACTGCTTGGCAATGTGCTCCTGGAGCGGGGCAGAGAGGCGGTGAGCACACGGGGCTGTGTGTTGGGGTCTGGCAATGCCACCTGCCCCACCAGGACTTCAGCAGCCCCCCAGGGCTTTGGAAAATGTAGCAGGATGGGGGCTTCCCCCATTACCCCCCCACCATGCACCTGGTTCTTGCGATAGTCCTCCTGGGAGTGCCGGAGCACGCGGTAGCACAGCCGAAACATGTACTGGTAGGGAGCATTCTTCTGGTCCGACAGCTCCTCCAACCGCACCAGGGGCCCTTCCCCACCCTTGTCCTTGAAGGGGGCTTTCAGGATCCCAAAAATCTGCCCAAAAAGCAAAGATGAGAAGTGCTGTGTCCCCCTCCACACCATCAACCCCATGCGTGGCTGGACACCAGCCGTGCTTGCCAGGAGGGCTTGGTGCACAACAGAGGCATGAACTAGAGACCAGCGACACCTCCTCCATGCGGGATCTCCAGATCCCTGGCCTCCCACGTGGCCCCAGCCAGAGCAGGACATCTCCGCAGGACCTCAGCCTTGCTCAGATGCAGGACCCTGGGACCACTCACCTGCTTCAAGATGTTCTGCTCCCGCATCAGCTTCTGCCGCTCCCGGTTGGGCTTGGTCACCACGATGTCCAACACATTCTGGCCATTGTTGGGGACGTCGCTGACGAAAAACACCAAGTCCTCCAGCAGCTGGATCACAAACCTGCAAAGGGACACGGTGCCAGTGGGGTGGTGGGACTCTCCGGTCAGGGGTGCTGCTCACCCACCCCACGCAGCCCATCCAGACTCGGGTCCTTGCAACGATGTCGGCACATCTTGGAGGACCAAAGAGCCCATTTCAGGGCTCAGAACTCTGCCAGGGAAGCTGCTGGCTGATCCTCCCCTCCACCTCCTGCCCTGAAGCAAGAGGTTTCACAGCCCCTATGGTTCCTAAGGAAACTATCGCCAGGTGCCAGGGTAAAGCCAGGGACCTTAACTCATGATTCATGCCAGGAATTTTGCATTTAACGCCTCTGTCCCCTTAGTCACCTTTGCGGGACCCGCACGGGGAGGGCTGGCAGGGCGGAAGCGGCTCGCTCTGTCTCACGGGGGATCTGTGTTTGCTCAGGAAGCACCAAGAACCCACCCACCTAAAAATAATACCGTGACTAACCCGGCTGCCCCTATCGTGGGGCCATCTCTCAGCCCCCTCGGATATTTTTCTAGCAGCAAAAGGAGGGGCCAGAGCGGGGCTGCGGCGTTATCTGGTTTCCTCGCCAGACTCTTGGGAGTGGATTTGGGTTGTGGGCAGGAAAGCAAGACAGCGCTGGCACCGAGACCCAGGCAGGGGCCCCATCCTGCAGCGATGCTGGAGAGCCCTTGGAGGAGCCCAGCACGTTCCCATCTCCTCCCCGGGGAAATGACTTTTTTTTACCTCCGGTCATTCTGGCTGAGAAAACCTTCGTTCATCTTCTCCACCACGTTGGCCAGCATGGAGCTGGCGTCGTTAGCAAAGTCCAGGTCCCGGATCTCGGACACGGGCACGGAGACGATGGCGAAAGCTTCTTTGTCTTCTTTGGTGGGGCACGTGCCCAGCTGGGACACAACGGGGAAGCAGCGTCACACAGACAGGGCAGTGCCAAGCATGTCCCCACCATCTGCTACCACCCCAGGTGAAGCCAATGACCCAGTTTGTCCCCATCAGAAGGACTGGGAAGGGCTCTAATGTTACTGGGATGGGTTCTAGGCTGGTGTCCAGCCATCCCCGTGGATCATGAGGGTATTTCAGTCCCTGGTAAAGCCCGGGTGCTGGGTGGGAAGGAGGATGCTAAGAGCTTTTGGGGCACAGGGGATAAACCCTTGCAGGGGAGGAGGGCACGGGGCTGTACCATGAGGCGGATGGGCCTCTCCTCATCGATGTCAATGGGCACATTGGTGCTCTGGATCCAGGTGTTGGTGCAGAGGTGGCGCAGCCTCACGTAGGAATTCCTGCAAACGGCACAGCGTCCCGGTGAGCGATCCCTGCGCACACCCACCAGCACCCACCACCCAGCAAAACCACCCCAAAAACGGACCTGCCAAAACTTCACACCACGCAATTAAGCTTTCCTTTATTTTAACCCCTTGATGCCAACGCGTGCTCACGTACCGCGGGACGAAGGAGTCCGTCTTCTGCAGCGTG